GGGCCAGGAGTGGAATGACAGCCCCAGGGTGTGCTAGAAGTGCTTAGGAACTGGAATGACGGGGCCAGGAGTGGAATGACAGCCCCGGTGTGGAGCAGGAGTGTTCAGGAACTGCAATGACAGGGCCAAGAGTGGAATAACAGCCCCAGAGTAGCGCAGGAGTGTTCAGGAACTGGAATGACAGGGCCAGGAGTGGAATGACAGCCCCAGGGTGTGCCAGGAGTGTTCAGGAACTGGAATGACAGGGCCAGGAGTGTTCAGGAACTGGAATGACAGCCCCAGGGTTCAGAATTTTTTTTTTCCTGTTTTCCTCCTCTAAAAACTCTGTGCGTCTTATGGTCAGGTGCATCTTATGGTCCGAAAAATACGGTATGTGTCCTCATAGCTATGTTATATATAATGTTATAGTTATGACTTGCTCTGCACTACTATTGGGCCATTAGGTTGGGAACAAGTTTAATATATTTCCATTCCCATCTGCAGCCTTGTGTACTACAAGCCCATATTACAAGCAGTTATCTTAAGATCAGCATTATATAGAAGGATATTATGCACACAGGGCCAGTAACCCATAATGTTAGACTAGAGGCAGTGTAATCAGGATGTGGAAATATCCTGAAATACTTGTTATGGGGAAGTCACTTTAAATCACTCCCCTTAGGGGCTATGTCCATGCACAGAGCTGCAGTAAGGATCCACGAGGGCCTGGCCATTCTCTCCTACAACAGACAACTCTTGAAAGCAAAAAAAAAAAAAAAAGAACCTGTGTGTGATCTGGGGGAAGACGCCAAGGGATGAAGAGTGAGTAGATTTTTGGCAGCCTGGAGGCAGGGCACAGTATGGAAGGTGACAATTCATCTAAAATTCTTCTCAAGTGTCCAATGAGAAGTGGCTACAAGAATCATCTTTGCTTCTTGCTCTTCTGGCTATTGCCTGAAAAGAGGGGAAACTGGCCACACTTCTGTGGCAACCTAATTATCTTAAGCCAAAACACATTAAAGGCGAAGCACCACTAAAAGGGGGGGGGGGAGATACTCGAACAGGTGCCAGAGACAAATACTTTATTATAATGTGTTTTGAGAGATTAACTCTTCAGCAGGGGAATACAAAATAATTCTGTTAACTACAATGTACTAGAAAGAAAGTAACTACTAGAGACTGATAAGGCACCCAGGGTATGTGGGAAACAGCAGGTGGACCAGCTAGGGGATGGGCAAGGCCCAACAAAAATGCAATATATGTGATATCTGAATGCAGCTTCTGTTTCCTGCATCTCCAAGATGTTATCTTTAAAATACATGTGCACGCACAAATCTCTCTCTATTTTTTCCTGTATCAGCTACAACTGTGTTCCACACAGCAAATTTGGGGTAATGGAATCACCATAATGAACTAATGGACTGAAAGTGCCATCAAGTTGTGTTGACTTATAATGGCCCTGTAAGGTTTTCAAGGCAAGAGATGTTCAGAGATGGTTCAGAGGTGGTCTATCTCTACATAGCAAATCTGGGCTTCCTTGCTGGTCTCCCATGCAAGCACTAACCGGGGCTGACCTTTGTTAGCTTCCTAGGTCTGATGAGTCTGGGTTAGCCTGAGCTATCCATCATGAGCTATGCATACACACACACACAGCAGCCCAACTGTGACTGTTTGTGTGTCCATATGAAAAAGGAAAACAATAAGCATAAGTGGACAGACACTGCAGTAAGGAGAAAAGATGTATATGTGAACTATGGAAAGTGCTTTTGAAAGCACTAAATAATAGAACAATAAGAAAATAAAAAGGGAAATATATTCAGTCCCTGTGTGGTAACCAGTGCTCCCTCTAAGCTGTGGAGTCTTGTGAGCAGAAATTCTACTTTGCGAGTTACCAGCATTAAAAAGTTGTGAGCGAGCGATTTGGCTGCTGCATCAATCAGTCTGCTCTGGAGCCCTCCTCCCTGAGCTGAGACAGAAATGGGTGAGCCGGAGGCTAAAAAACTGTGAGCTAGCTCACACTAACTCAGCTTAGAGGGAACACTGGTGGTAACTTACCCAGCACCTCCTGTACTTTTATTTTATCTTAAAAAGGGCCCATCATTTTGAAGAAACCAGAAATTGTCTACATGCAGGACAAAAGACCCCTATGCAATCCTAAGAAAGTCTGCTCAGAATCTTACTGAAACCTACTCTTTGGGTTTTATTCCCAGGAAAGTATCCCTCCCTCCCTCCCAGGCTCTTTTGGCCACAGCCTTAAGCCTGATCACACAGAGAAAAAGGGGGAGGGGGGAAGTGCACTCCAGTCACAAAAGTTTTTTAATTTTATGCTGAGTTGCAAAAAGGTAGAATGCCAGCAACTCGGTGATATATGGATCCTTATCTCATAAAACAAAAGAAAGGCTCTGATTGATATTTGTGAGCTCATTCTTCTCATGTATTGGGGTAATCCCCCTCTCTCTCTCCTCACTGAATTTGGGACATTCAATAACTAGATGAGCCAAGGTACCTCTCTCCCCTGTATTGCAGAAACAAAAGGGAATGTCCAAAAAGTGGCCTTTCATTTATGGGGTTAATATAGCCCTCAATCTAGCAACCAAAAAAATCACAACATCAGGGAATCATTATGGTGGTTCAAGTCAATTGTAGGCAAGGGAACACACCCTTCTTGCCTGCTGATTTGTGCTTCTGAAATCTAGCATCTTTGACCCTTTGGAATGCAATTCTCTCACTTTCCGTCAAGAATAGTAAAGCTGGAATAAAGCCTAGTTGTTCCAGTCTCTGACTGACCAAAGTCCTGCATTTACTCTGGAAGGGATCTTCGAGTCTAAAAAGGAGTTTAGATCTATAGTTAAAACAAATCTTAATTCTGAGTCTAAATGCATGCAATCCTAAAATAGTCTGCTCAGAATCTTACTGAAATCTACTCTTTGGGTTTTTATTCCCAGGAAAGTATTCTGAGGATAGCATTGTAAAATCTACTGGTTGTTTGTAGGAATATGGTGCTTATAGCAATTTAGTCTTAGCTTTTTCCTCAAGCATACTTCAGCTTACCTAGGTCTCAACAGTGATACCCAATGAACATTAAGGAATTTGAAATAATTAACAATAAAATGGAAAGTATAGTTCCAATTCCAGAAGATTCATTGTCAGTGTCCCCTTGCTTGAAAAAGGAAAACAGCCATCTAATGTAAGAAATGTTTCAATTTTGAGCAGTAAATGCAAAAAGGGGAACAACAAAATTAACGCAGCAGGAGAAAAATGTTTGGCTCCAGTTTTTCAGTGGCAGCCTCTGAATCACTCAGTGTAATAGCATCGCTTTCAAGCAGAAACATGATTAGCGTTGCTGCTAAATTATATAGCTAATATAGAGCTACCACTGGAATTAAGCTATTTTTACACTTGAACCTACTGTCAGTATGAAGGGCCCTTTATAATGTTTTGCGGCAATTGATCAGTGATCTGCAGCTCTGCATTTACAAACATTCCAGACAATCACATTTTTTATACATGCCCAGAATTAAGGAACCAATTCAAAAACAGACATAGGAAAATGCTGCCTTGAATGAAGGCAATTTTGCCCTTGCAGCATTCCCAATGCTCTTTTTCCTTCTGGTCCTCATCATTTGTCAACACTGCAATGTATTTTAAGTGGCTCCTCCTTGGAATCAGAGATATAAGGTGCCCCTGCATTTATTTCCACATTGCTCAGGCCTGCACAGCACACTTAAAATAGCAATGCGGCAAATAGTGGTGAAACATGTGAAATTGTGTCAGGGCCAAATGACCTCTGATGTAGGAAAGCTATGATTAGATCTCCAGACTTTTTCTTTCACTGAAATGAAGTGGGGGCGGAACTGCTTGAGGAGAGGCAGACAGAAAGGGCTGTACCATTTTTCCTATCTAAACTGGCTTTCCTAAGTGGCATTAATTCAGACATTAAGACAAACCATGGCCTGGACTGAACACCATTTAGTTTTAAAGACATATCATCCACATGTAAAAACAAACTATATTTTAGAGCTGCTAATCATCTCTAATTTTCTGTCTGCCTGGTATGTCGATGTCTAGGTATACTGGCCTTTAGAGGCAGAATAAAATCTATAACTATGGTTTATCAGTTCAGATACCATGCAGATCTATAGTTAGGACTGACAATACTTTGAATCATGGACTCTGATTCGACAGCTGGTCACAGAGTGTAATATCACATTTAAGCTATAATTAAACTCACCCAAAGATGCATATCCTGTTCCTAGTACTGACTTCTGCTATAAAATTAGATCTCAATTTATATTCCTGTGTAAATGAATAGTTTTTGTTTCTGCAGCTCTGAAAAAGTAATGAATTCATCCTAGCACTTCTCCCCATCTGTCTATTATCCTAGGCTGCTACCTCATCTTTACTTCATAGGGATTTGAATACACATCTACTCAGTCCAACCCCCAAAGATAATTCTTATTCTTAAAAAAAAAAAATCTCTATCAACAATCAGTTCATTTTAAAAGGTAGCATATTAGCCTACTTTGTAGCCAAAATCCAATACAGAGATAGGTATGCTACAGCCCATTGACAGATGTGCACATAACGCTGTGCTGGACTTTGGCCTATGTCTTTACTGTGGAAAATAATCCACTTTAAAAACTGGGTAGAGAGGTATGACTGTCACTATTATTAAGAGTACCATACAAAACTATTACCTGCTTTTCCTCATGAAGCTCCCATGACTAGCCTTAATAATTATATAATGAACATTGTACAGGACATCCATGAAGTCCTCACGGGTCACAGTTCTAGTGACCCTGGGGTCATCTCCATAATATTTCCATTCATGCTGAAAATCAGACAACAACATCACAAATGAGTTTACTGTTTCCAGTGTGCCAAAGACAACTTTTTGAACAGAATACACACAAAAATTACCTCTGTTATTTCAATATCATGCCTTGTCAACTGACCAATCAAAGGAGCAGCTACATGCCTGACGATTATTCGTGTGTGTGTGGGAAGCCCACCTCTGATTATGACCTGGGGGTTATAGGTTGCAAAGCCAGTTTCTTCTCGTGCTTCAAAGTAGATAGCATATTTCAGCCTACCCCCATAGGCAGTCAGCTAACAAAACAAAACAAGACACATAAACATTTACTGGAAGTACAGCACACAATTAAGAAAAAGCATCATGAGATATTATAAAAAGATGACAAGTATGGAAACATTATTTTATGTATCTATAAACTGTGCAACTGTAGGCAAATGTAGCTGTCCAAACACGAAATGTGGTTTGGAGAGTATTTTCAATTAGCATAAATCCAGATGAATTATTTCTGTTCTACACGTCTTCTATCTCAGTCCCATAATGGTAGATAACAGTATACAAAACATTTCCCATGTTTCTTATGAGGAAAAATGGGTCACAATCACATGCACAATTAGCCGTGCCATAGGCATGAATAATGGGTGGATTTAAAGGGCACAATCAGAGACGAACATCTGGGAAGTGCCCCGCACCCATCGGCAACCTGTTTTGCTCCACCGCAGAAGCAGAGTAAAAAGACACAAGGGAAAGTCTGGTAGCAAACAGGTTGCTACGGGGCACGAACGAACTTTCCCCTGTCTGATCGCTCCAAGGCGCTCTCATGGCATTGGGATGGTCTGATCAGGCCATCCCGACTCCACGCCATTGTTTTTTCCCCCTTCTCAGTATGCGCATCATCACACACTCCATAGGGAGCCCTTAGTACTGAGATGTGATTCATCGATTCCCCGTAAGTGAATTGGAAACAAACGGCAACCCCCCCGACTCACCCGCGGTTGCATCTGTTCATGTAGTGGCGGACTGTGTGATCGTGCAACTGCAGGTCAAATTCCTCCGGAGGGAATAGCTTCACTCCCCCCTCCCCAGTTTATCTTGTGTGTGTGACCACCACCTAGCTCTTCTGGAATTGATGAATTGAAAATTATGCTGTACCCTAAATCAAGTAAAGCCCAATTGCAGTCCAATATGGCAGATGTTATGGGAGAATTTCATACTGTGGTTCATTCTGTTTCTCATTATGGCTGACAGGGACAGACCAGCTGGAGAATGACTGTATTCCCTTCTGGTTAACCTCAAGCTTATCCAGATCAGCACAGCTACAGGCAGGAATTGAAATATGTTCTTGGGAGTAGAGTATTGCATTAATGGTTTCTCCAGCATTCAAATGGTTGTGACTGAACTTGGGTCAATCTATATATCTATTTCTCAAGGGCTCCCCCCTCCCCGCAGATACTTAAATCCACTGATTGGGGTCACACTTAACCCAAACAGATTTTTCTGCAAACTTGGGGGAACCCCTACGTTCACAAAAAAATCTGAAAAGAAAAAGAAACCCCCCCCCAACACACTGGAGGGTTTAAATCCCCCCAAAACTTTATCTGTGCAATGGATTTACCTTTTTCGTCAAAGTTGTTGGTGGCCCCAGTGTTTGGGTGTATCTCTGGGCCTGGCTGTGGTGGAGTCAGCATCTGGGAGGCTCTCCAGGCTTGGAGCAGCTCCCAGACACTGCAGCTGGGCCCAGAAGCCTAGAGCCATGTCTACCTTGGTGATAGGGAAACTAGTGTTAGGGGTAGAAGGCTTGGAGGTCAGGAGCTGCACAGCTCTCCAACTTCTGAGGCCAGTGTTGGGGGGCGGCGGCTGCAGGTCAAGAACTGTGCTGCTTTCAACCTCTGAGACCTGTGTGTGTGAGAGAAGCCTTGCAGATTGAGAGCTGCACAGTTCTCAACCTCCAATGTCAGGTGGCGGGAAGGTTTAGAGGTAGAGAGCTGTGCAGTTCTTGACCTCCGAGGCCAGTGTCAGGGAGGAAGGCCTGGAGGTCGGGAGCTGTTCAGCTCTTGACTTCTGAGGCCGGTGGGGGGAGAAGCCTAGGAGATTGAGAGCTGTGTAGCTCTCGATATCCAAGGCCATTGTTGGGTGGTGTGGGGAGAAGCCTAGGAGATTGAGAGCTACACAACTCTTATCCTCCAAGGCCAGTGTTGGGTGGGGGGAAGGCTTGGAGGTCAGGAGCTGTTCAACTCTCAGCCTCCAAGGCCAGTGCAGTGGGAGTCTTGGAAATTTGGAGAAAGGGAGGTAGGGAGGATTGACAGAAGGAAAGTGGGTGAGAAAGAGGAGGAAGACTGTTCAAGAAGGAGGAAGAGGGATGTAAATAAATGGGGGATGGGATGTGCTCTCCCTGCGAGTTTTTTTTGAGTCCTAATCTGTATAACCACAATTACCATGTAGTTCCATTGTGTTAGTCAGGCACTCCAATGGTTTTTTGAAAAAGCAAATTAAGGTAGTTCTGCCTTTTATTTTTTACTTTATGTTTAGTCTTTACTGTAACATATTGGAAAATACCAACTTAGGTGAAAGTATTGTAATTACAAACAGTAATATCAGAGAATCACATGCTGAAAATACAGAGGGCTTCACAAACAAATCAGATGTAATTTCTTTCACAAATATTTCACTGTTTCGGTTTTTTTTAATTTGGATATTGGGTTGCACCCAAAGACCTCTTCTGTAGGGTTGCCAACCTCCAAATGATTATTACAACTGATCTCTAGGCAGCAGCGATTGGTTCACTGGGAGAAAATGTCTGCTTTGGAAGATGGGCTCTATGGCATTATACCCCACTGAAGTCCCTCCCTTCCCCCAACCCCATCCTTCTCAGGCTCCACCCTCAAAATCTCCAGGTATTTCCCAGCTTGGAGCTGGCAACCTATAAGCTGATGAGCATGTCAACTCACACAAAAGCAGTGCTTCCCCCCCCCCATTTTCTCTTCCCAGTGCAGATGCCCACATTGCACCTCATACCATTTCTGAGGGTCTCCCAGAGTGCAGGGGATTTGGTGCAAAGAGGGACTTGCAAAAGATCCATTCCATATGGATCCAGCCCACTGATGCACAAAATGACAAACATAACTTAATTTTGTAACATTTCTGCCATGGCAAATGGTGACATCCAACTTCCTTATTCTTTAGAAACATATTCCAGCTTGGCCTGATCTTTATAGTGAAAGGAAGAGAAAATTGTTGAAATACCAGCTCCTATCAAAATTCTTCATCCTTACCTTCCGTCCTTCAAACTGTTTTGGAAGTCTCCAATAAAATGGTTCTGAGCGTAGCTCCTTCATCACCAGTTCAACATCTGCAACAGTCTCTGGATGTTGGTATTCAATCCCTTGTATAGTTTGGTGCTGGGCATTTTCATCGACCAGAGGAAGAATTACCTGATCCGGCTTCAGGGTCAACTACACACAATTAAAATTATTAGGGGAAAAGATAAAGCTTTTTCAAAATTTCACTTTCAAATAAGCAATTTTCATTTTGAAGCTTGTGAATTTTTTTTGGCTTGAATGTTTAACTAAGCAAACAGCAATCTAATGAAATGTACACAAACAAATGATGAAGAATATAAAGTGGAGTGTTAAAAAAGTCATAATTGTGTGTGTGTGTGTGTGTGTGTGTGTGTGTGTGTATATATATATATATATATATATATATACACACACACACACACACACATATATGAAACAGAATATATATACAGAGAAAGCAGGAGGTCAGGCAGTCTCCCATGCTTCTGTCACTCTGCAACCTAAGTAAAACAGAATTGCTCAAGAGTACATTTCTATAAAGTTAACAGAGCTATATTATAATGGAATAATTCAGGATTGTACTTATAAAGGGAAATGGACTGTGTACTATACCACTGGGAACTATACCACATTTGACATGCTTCCTGTTTGTATTATGCTGCTGTCACTGCATTATTTTCTACTGATGTAATATCATCCTTGTGTACTGTATCTGTAATATGTATTGTGTCTAATATGCAAAGCTTGCTTCAGATTTTTGTCATTTTAGTTCTAGTATGTTGCTTATTAGATGTCTCATCCTATTGAGTACATCAATTTACACTGTTTAATCCACCTTGCATCTCAGTGAGAAAGGTGGATTATAAATACAGTAAATGAATAAGTAACAATAAAAAGTTAATGATATAACCGTGTTCTAAAAATTAAGAATACATAACCAAACTTTTAGAAAAGTTGGTAGATCAAGATATTTGGTAAAAAGTCTAGATTTTTTTTCATGTGTGATACAGCTGCTGAGGCTACAGTTTGAACTGGAAGACTGTCCAGAGGGGCAGTGATTTCTATAGATGCCATAAATTTTGTGTTTAATATGTTTGATAACTGAACATATTGTGTTTAGCTGTCCCAGACACAGGTGAGCCAATGTCCTGATCTGTTTAGCTCCCAACAAACAACTCAAACAACTGCCGAACAGAAACTGCCTCCTAAACTATTTGCTGAGCTCCCCCTCCCCTTGCAGTAACCTAATAATAAGTTTGGTAATGGAGACTGAAAGCTGACTATAGGAGCAGCGGACTCTGATCTGGAGAACGGGGTTCGATTCCCCTCTCCTCCACTTGAAGCCAGCTGGGTGACCTTGGGCCAGTCACAGCTCTCTCAGCCCCCAAAATAAACCTAGCTTGCCACAAAACCCAAAGAGCTAGAGTTTCAGGCTGCCAGACAATCTTCCAGTCTCCTGGCTATATTACACCCACTGCTATACAATAATTAATTAATTAGTCAGCTGATATCAGCTGAGCTTCCCCATCTGTTCTTCACCCACCATCCAAGCTTTTCACTCTATTTCAGCAAAACTAGAGCTCAGGAAGAAGCTGAGGTAGGTAGACCAGGAGCAACTGGCTTTTCCTCTCTGCCCCAAACTGTCAGATTGGGTTGCAAAGTAAAGGAGCAGACTACTCTTATTCTCTACCATCCAAGTGATTCCGGGGGGGGGAGGGGAGGCAGATCACTTCTTGCTCCACACGTTATTTTGAGTTACAAAGAATATGAGCAAATCATTCCTATTATCTGCAGGACATGCACCAGTTTAGGGTGAAGATAAAATAAGCATTTTTTCCCCTCTGCACCCAAAAATAACAGAATTGGCTGACAGCTTGGGAGGTGAACAATCGGCTTTTATTCTCTGCTGCCCAAGCTGACTACCCGAGGTGGGGAGTGGATAATTAATCTGTTTCTTCCCCATCCCCTAAACTGAGGACTCATGGGGGAGAAGTAATCTCCTTTCCCCCCCCTCCAACTGAGGCTTGAGAGAATAGAAGGAGATCACTCCCATTCTCCTGAAGTCCAAGCTGTCAGCTTGTGGAACAGAAGTGGATTGGCTCTTGACTCCCTCTCCAAACTTTCCAGACTTGGCCAGTGGAGAATAAAGAGCAGATGGCTCCTGTTTTTCTCAGCCCAAGTTATCAGTTTCAGATGGAGAGAAAAGAATAATCCTTCTTTTCTCCTCACTTGAATCCTAGATCTTCAGCTGAAGCCCAACTGGGCAATTTGGGCTGTGGAGAAGAAAAGGAGAATCGCCCTAGACTGTATCACACACCCCTCCCAGCTGCTGCATCTAGGCTGGGAGACTGGAAGGCCCCAACTTCCAGCTCATCCACATAATCATCTTGGAGTTAGCTCCTGACCACCCCCTTTAAAAACCTTGCTGAATACAAAGCAAAATTTCCCTAGCAGGAGATCATTATCCCTCATCAGCTGGCAGTCAAGTTCTGATGTCACCTGTTCCTGCACATAGACACGCGTGGATTGCAAACAGCTAAACTGCCATTTGACTAAATCAGCCGTCTGATTTCCACTGGTGAACAAAATGTGAGCCACATTAGCAGTTGTTCAAACACCTTTACCATATACTGGTTGTGGACTGAAAAGCTACACTCCTTTTACCCTGGCTGGGGGGAAGATGTACCTCAGTTTAATTTTGTGTTTGTAATTCCAGCTGATGTGTGTGTTGGGTGGGAGGAACTAACTTCATTTCCCCAGACAGCTGCATTTTGATCTCACAGTACTTTAGAAGCCTTCAGTTGTGCACACAAGCACAACAACAAGCTGCATTTCTGCTTCTCACAAACAAGCCCAAGCCCGTTTTTCATGAGGTCTAAATGCAGCATTGAGATTTCCAATAGATCACCTGCTGCCTTGTGGAAGACCTCATGTAGTATTTCTTCTTAGGTCCTTATAAAGAAATATTGACCCAGTTATAAAAACAGGAGTGCTTCTAAAATAATATGAAGCATTTTCAAGCCACAGTTATGACAGTAATCAAAGAAACCTGAAAGAACATCATATTAATTAATTTTATCCTACAGGAATCCTACAGAATACTAAATAAATATGGGAGAGAAATCTGAAATGTTACAGAAATAGAAGTACTATGATGTTACTGAAGCAGACATGGCAATTATCAGTAAATTAAGCAAATAAAAACATCCCTGAAAACATCACACAGTTTGTGGAATTTCACAAAATGTCAATCTGGCAATGAAAAAGTGAAGCTCAGAATTGATATAATTATTTTTCTACCCATATCTGGAACAGATTCGGTAGCATGACAGAATGTTTCTTTGAAGTGCTAATGCCAACTGAGGTGTCTATGACTCCTATGCATTAGACATGCTAATCAGCAAGAAACTGGTTAATGCATGAACTATTTGAAATGTATGCCTCAATGTCATAGAATACCTGTACATTAAAGGTTTTTTATCATTTCCACTGAATCTATTCTAAAATAGATTGGAAATGTTCAGAGAGACTATAATGTGAAACTGCAAGCCTAATTTAAGTATGAGAATTCAAAGAGGGATAATTGATCATTAGGGCAATTTTAAATCAATATTGTAAATCATGTACACTTGTGCCTCTTGCAGAAGTGATGCTTTGAACAGCCTAATACATCACCTTTACTGACTCAGTTGCATTCTCCTCTTAGCCCAAACTGTGTCAGATCAATAAAATTAGACCATACCTAACTGTGTAAAGAGCCTAAACCTTATTACTTTCCCACAGGGTGTTAAAGGGCCAACTCAAACTTGATTTTTCATTGACAAAGTACACAGCAACTGGGGATTTGCCGCTCATCCTGTTTTAAGTTACTGATCCAATCGTTCTAAATATATATATTTGTGAGCAGAATCCACCTAGATAAGAAATTTTAGGAAAGAAAAGGAGAGGACCACCTTATTCTTCAGTAAGAAACACATTTTAGTAAGAGCAAGGGTCACATAAAGGTATGACGATTACTACTTTTCCACTGTACCCAGTCTGAAAGTCTGAAGCTGCAGTTTCATTTCTAAAAGATTATGGGAGGAAGAGGGATAACAGAATTCCACAAAAGTGAATTCAAAGGAGAACAGGCTTCAGTAGGCTAATGGTTTTATCCACAGTTTTCTCAACTGCACATGGAATACAAACTCTGCAGAAAGAGATTTGGGACACTTATTATACAGTTGCCCTTGGTCTATATGGAAATTTAAGCTTTCAACATTCATGTACCATCATACTTCTGTACCGAACAGAACCTTTCAAGATTTTAAAGTAGTCTTTGTGTTAGGAGGGAACACAGAAAAAAAGTCCATACCAAAGTATACAGATGATTTACTGAAGATTCTGGGCTGTGTTTCTTTAGCAAAGCAGATAAATTAATCTAGAATCAATCTGATATACAACCATTTTGCTAAGGTCCTGCTTCTAAATAACTTACTATGGTCAGTTCATCTTCTCTTCTCTAGCCTTACACATCCAGTTTCCTTATCTGACTTTTCTTTACTCATGCTCATAGTACTCTTTGACTCTTTCCAGCATTCTGTGGTAACCAGCAACCAATGATCCAAGAGAGATCTAGCTAGAGCAGCCTTATCATTTCCAAAGGCACTCCCAGATGGAAGGCTGTGTGTCAGGCATGATGAATTAGTGGACCTAACTCCCATGAAAATGGGGATTATGCTAATCCACTATTTATTTATTTTTATTTATTTATTTATATCCTGCCCTCCCCACCAACGCAGGCTCAGGGCGGCTTACACAGAGAATATAAAAAATTAAAACAAGAACAATACTATTATAGATATAATAAAATATAAAGTGCTAGTTTGTATCAGATGGCGGGCATTAGCAGCATCCTCAGGCAACAGCTGGCTGACACCACAGTCTGTGTTAAATTGAATGTTAATGATGTTAGTATTAGGGCCGGGGCCACAGTTTCTTGGGTGCGGCTCCCTCATCGAAGGCCTGGTGGAAGAGCTCCATCTTGCAGGCCCTGCAAAACTGTAAAAGGTCCCACAGGGCCCTGTTGTCATCAGGGCCGGCTCTCCCGCTAGGCCAACTAGGCACTCGCCTAGAGCGGGAGGCCCTGGATGGGGCGGAGGGCCCTGGATGGGGGCGCCGAAGTTCGCCTCTCCCTCCCCCCCAAAAGCCAGCGCTGATCCCCCCGAGGCTCCCCTCCGCGTCCTTCCCGCCTGCCCGGACCTTCTCCAGCGACCCGTGGCAGTTGGGGAAAGGCGCTGGCAGAGCGGGCGCATGAAGAGGGGAGCCCGCGCTGGGGCGCGCTTACTTCCTGCCTGCCGGGGGAGCAAGGCCGCGGGAGCTGCTGCAGGCGCCGCCAGGCAGGAGGTAAGCGCGCCCTGCTGCCGGCGCCTCAGCCCTGGGACCGCAGGGCCCTTTACCCCCTCGCCTCCCCCTGCCCGGTCCCCTCGCCCAGCTGCTTCTCCAGTGGTCCCCGGGTGAATCAGCTGACCAGCCCGCGTCTCCTCGGCGGGGCCTGCGGGGGCCGGGCGAGTCCCGCTGCCAGAGGCCCGCCAGGGGCGCATGCAGTAGCGGCAGGGCAAGGGACCTGTTGCGGCTCGGCGGGCAGGGTGGTGGTGGAGTCGGAGTCCAGCCTAAAGGGAGCCAGCCCCCCCCTCCACGCTCTCCCTCTGAGTCTGACATCTCTCGGGCCCTGCCCCCAAAAAACAACAACAAAACGCGAGTAATCCACACGCGATAGGATCTTTCGCCCTCGAGAAGCCGGCATGGAGAGCGTGGAAGGAGGGGGGGGAAGCAGGAGCCAGCCAGCCCTCCGCCTCGGCGCGCCCCAGGACCACGCGGCCCTTTACCCCCTCTTGGCCTCACTCCTTAGCTGCCGCCGCTGCTGCCACCCGAGTGCCCGCGGCGAGAGGAGGTAGGTGGGCGAGGGGTAAAGGGCCGTGCGGTCCCAGGGCGGAGGGCTGGCTCAGACTGGCTGGCTGAGGCACCGGCAGCAGGTTCCCAGTGGGGCGAGTTCCAGGCCCCACCGGGAGGTTGGCACCTGCAGCCTCGCCTAGGGCGCAGCCTCGCCTCGGGCCGGCCCTGGTTGTCATCAAGGAACTCATTCCACCAGTACAGAGCCGCCATTGAAAGGCCCTGGCCCTCATTGCAGCCAGCCTGGCTTCTCTGGGGCCCAGAAGGGCCAAGCGGTTTTGGGACCTCTATCATAGTGTTCTCTGGGGAATATGTGAGGAAAAGAGGTCCCTTAGGAATGTAGGCCCCTGACCACATAGCGCTTTAAAGGTAAGAACCAGCACCTTGAACCGAATTCGGTATGCTACAGGCAGCCAGTGCAGTGCTTTTAGCACAGGACGAATGTGCTCCCAAATAGGGAGGCCCTACAACAGCCTGGCTGCCGTGTTCTGCACCAGCTGCAGCTTCCTGATTTGGGACAAGGGCAGCCCCATGTAGAGAACATTACAGTAATCCAGTCTTGAGGTGACCATTACATGGATCACTGTTGCCAGGTCATTGCATTCAAGGAAGGGAACCAGCTGCCTGATCAGCTGAAGATGATAAAAGGCTGACTTTGCAGTGGCTGCTACCTGGGCCTCCATTGTTAAGGAGGCATCCAGGAGCACTCACAAACTCCTTACCTCCAGCGCTGGCACCAATGGCAACCCATCAAAGGTAGGGAGTGGGATTCCTACCCTCGGGCCACTCCAACTCAGGCACAGGACCTATGTCTTCGTTGGATTCAATTTCAGTCAACTCAGTCTAAGCCAACCAGCCACAGTTTTTAACGCCAGGTCCAGGTCTTCCAGGTTAGAGTCAGACTGGCCATCCAACAGCAGATAGAGCTGGGTGTCATCCACATATTGGTGACACCCCAGCCCATGCCTCCGGACAATCTAGGCAAGGGGGTGCATATAGACGTTAAATAACATTGGGGAAAGCACCGCTCCTTGGGAGCGGCAAATTAGTGGGTGCCTTCGGGAGAGCTGTTTTCCAATGGCCACCCTTTGACCCCGACCCTGGAGGAATGAGGTGAGCCACTGCAAGGCAAACCTTGAATCCCAGTGTCAGCGAGGCGGTGTGTCAGTAGGTGGTAGCTGACTGTGTTGAACAAACTAGAAAATTGACTTAAGTAAAACAACAACTGTGGCACAAAACCCCAGCAAATTTATTTATTTATTTATTTACTTGATTTATATACCACCCTCCCCGCGGATGGAGAAATGAAATCCTTCTCTAGTTGTTATGTCTTACTTTTTTCCACCTTCTGATTAGGTCTGATTTTCTTTCTCACCCTTTCAAAACTGTGGTGCGTCACCCCAGACCACAGGAGTATGGGTCACTCATAGAGTTGCCACATATAAGATTGCCTCCCAAGGCACTACAAAATAAGGAACATATTGTGGAACTATAAGGAAATGTCTTACATGTGTCAGAATGGTATCAATACTTTATAAGAAAATATCACCATCATAATATATTGAATTAAAGTTGCTTTTTGCAGATAAGGCTTTCAATTAGTATTTCTATTCATACTAAAGAAGAAAGGTTTCCTTGAAATAAGAAACAGGTAGCAAGCGTGTAGAGATCATGGATTTCTTCCACTTTCTAAAGTACTGAGGTCATTGGTGATTGCTTTAAATACTTGAAAAGAAAATGTGAGCAGTAAATCAATTAAATTCTCTTATATTTCAGTAACCCATAGTTATTCTGGGTGAGACTGAATGACTATGATTTTCCTCACTGTTTCACATTTAGAAACAATGCAGTGCTGGAGTGCTATATTTTCATGGAACAATTTCCCCTCACTTGACTATACTGACTTTTACAGTGGTTTTAATAGCTTTACTCTGGGGCTTGACATCTATTACCTTATCAGAGACTTTTAAAATGTTTTGACCCTGATTGCCTAATGGAACATGGTCCTCTACCCACTTCTCAGAGTACACAGGGGGGGGAAATGCTTAAATGTTTCTCCACTTCCTAGCTCCATCTCTGTGCCTGACTAAAAGATGCCAGCAGGAAACAACATTATCGCATTACATGGCTCAGCAGTCCTTTACTCACCCACATGCGGACCAGCCCCTGTGCCTCGCTGCACTGGGATGTCACACCAAAGCAGTAGCAGCTGCTGCAGCCGAGTGGATTCCTGGCATAGAGTCCAAACTTGCCCGATTTGCACCTGTCACAGTAGACACCCTCCACGTTAACCTATTATAGAAAGGGGGGGGGGAAAGACGGGTGATTTTTAGAGACAATAGTTTCTCCTTTTCATACACTAGCTCTTAATTAGGCATGGGGAAAGATATCTGAACAAACACATCACTTTTACAGTGTTAAATAAATAAATACACACTACACTTTTTAGGATTTAAACACATGGAAAGTATGGTGATAACGGGCAGTATAAAACTTAATATTGCAAGTATTTCAGCAGCCTGCAGTGTGACTGGGAAGGGCCTTCACGGCATTAGCAGCCATGGATTTGTTCGCCCCGGACCAATGTATCAAATGAGGAATGGGGCAATTTTAGACAGGGCAGGAAAACTTCCAGCCAAAGAACAGGGGTGGCAGCATTGCTGCTTAAATGCCCCTCCCAAGCAGGCATTTGCAGTGTGTTGCTGAGGTGAGCTGCTCCCTTGGTCTTCTGTAGTTTTCAAATCTGGTGGCATGACCAGCAGGGTTGTGGTGTCTTTTGTGTCGGAAGGGTGTATTTGTGTGCATTGGGAATGTGTGTATGTGTATGTTTGGTGAAGCTGGAGTGTTTACATTGAAAGAGATTTTTGAGTGTGCTTGAGTGAGTGTCTGGTTGGGGGGTATTACAGGGTTTCTCCTTTTAGGATCATTCCTCTCTCCCTTTATTTTATTCCCTTCTGTATTCCCATTAATTTTATTGAGTGTTCTTCTCCATATTGATTTGGCCTTTGTGGGCTGTCATGGCTCAGGTGGGGTATCACCTGATGCTGCCACCACTATGGATTTAGGATCCCTTGAGAAGGCCCAGAGCACCCTCCCAAGACCTTCAGACCTCCCTTTTGGCCAAATAAGAGGCCTGAGGACCAGGCAGAGTACAACAAGGAAAAGATTTATCTTATAGGCGGTCAAAAAAACAAGGTGCAGGAATAATAACAGTAAGTGGGTGAAAAGGAAAGAAATCAAATGTCCTAACGTATCTAAATATACTGTCCCTAGCTCATTATCTCAAGTGGCTTTAGACTACTCACCCTTCCCTCAGGATGAGGGTTTCTTCCCCACAGCAGCCTCTCTTCTGGCTCTGTTCCCTGGGAAGAAGAACAGCTTTCTCTCTTGCACAAGTTTTTTTATTCCCCAGCCCTCTTCTTCCTTATTGGTCAAAATCAGCACCAAAACTTCCCAAGGCCTTCTGGGGTTTGTAGACTCAGCCTCCCCTACTGCTAGCCAGACTCCCTGAGCCTAGTAGGCCTCTGGTGGCACAGCCCAGATCATGACAGGGGCAAAACTCCCTGTTTGGTGTCATTTACAAGTCCTGCTCTCTAGAATTTGAGATTTCATACTGCTTTGTCTACTTGTGGCACAGCTATTCAGCTTGAGGTGATGAGGCCTATACTGTTAATCTTCTTAGAACTGGTTAGTTAACTAGATTGTTATTGATTAATCTGAACTGGGATTGTACTGCCAGGCAGGATCTCTACTGCTGTTATATTGAATTGATCAGGGCTTTTTTTATAGAAAAAGCCCAGCAGGAACTCATTAGCATAATAGGCCACACCCAACAGCAGAAACCAATTAGCATATTAGGCCACACCCCTGACAGCACATCTCATTAGCATATTAGGCCACACACCCATGCCTTCCCTTGGCTTGCCCAGGCAAGCCCCCCCTTGAAGGGGAGGGAAGACAGTTTAAACTGCCTCCCCTTTGCCTGGGCGCCCTGCGGCTGTGGGGAACCTGGGCAAGCCGGCCCTTGGACAGGCTGGGGAAGGCACAGGGAGGCATTTAAATGCCTCCCTGATCCTTTCAGCCCCACCCGGCCCACCTGCCTTGGAGTCGATGGGGGGTCACTGTCCAGGCCTTCCCTCTGTAGCCAGGCACGCAGAGGTTTTGGCTGTAGTGGCTGTGGCCACAGCTGGAACTCTGTTCCTGTGCGTTTCAGCCCAAAAATAGCCCTGGAATTGATGATTTAGCCAAGCAGATCTGGTGTTAAAGTTTGAGCAGAGCTGCTATTATAGTCACTCCATAAGCAGATTTTGAAGTAATAAACTGAGTTTGCTTTACAGGTTAAGCAGTGTGGTTTACCCCTGAGTGTTGTGACATTATCCAAGGAACATGGGGATTTGTAGCAGGTTTGACCAATACCTGTGGATCACATTAGAGAGTATTTAGATTATTTATGGAAGTGGTGTTTGGTGGCCAAAACCATTTGGACCTATTTGGAGGTGGGTGGCAGACAATAATCTAATTTAACAGTTAGGAGAATGTTAGAAGGGTGTTTTCGGGAAATCCCAGCAGTAAATGATGCTAGGCACCTCTTGCAACAGTCTTGGAGGCTCCCCATGTTCTAGCCCTGGTGAGGTTTGCCTTTTCAGAGCAACAGCCTTGGTGACCTCTGTAATGTATTACATATTGAAACTTAGTTCCATCATGCTGGGATGTCTACCAGACAGTTTTGCGAAGGTCAGATTTGGCACTTGCACTAGGGCTGCCAAATGCCCCCGGGGGGCGGAATTCCCCCCGGTTTCAACCCCACCCCCGCGTCCGCATCACCCGGAAGTGACGTCGGACGCTGGGGGCGGAGCCACGCCATTTGAGGGAAAAACAAAGAGTTTTCCCCTCAAATGGCGTGGCTCCGCCCCCAGCGTGTGACATCACTTCCGGGTGACGTGGACGTGGCGCACGCGCACAAAGAGGACACCGGCTGGGAGCCCCCCGTTCCCAGCCAATTTCGATTTGGCAACCCTAACTTGCACCAAGGCAAGTGGTGTTGGTGAATGAGGAGGCCTTTAGCTTAAACACTCTAGAATGTCTCCTAGTGAGCTCTGCAATGTGAGATTTTTATTTATTTATTTATTTTAAGCATTTTTACCCGCCCTCCCCGCAAGCGGGCTCAGGGCGGCTTACAAGGGGCGCGAGCCCATATATAAAGCCCAATAAAACACTAAAATCACAATTACAATTACAACAATAATCACAGTAGAACATTAATAACAATAATAAAGTGCTTTCAGTCAAGATGGTCTTGAGTGGTTATCTTTCACTGGTGGAAGTGGTAGTAGTGATTGGGAGCTTTAGCTCAATCATGCTGGGGCATTTCCCATACAGTTCTGCACTTCTAGCCTCAGCACTTTTACCTTGAAGACAGTATTAGTGATTAGCTGGTCCAGAACTATCAACAGGAAAAGGGGATAACATGGTCCAATGACTACCAGCGATCCCCAGCTCTGTCCAGCACATGCCTTGGATGTCGTCTTGGGAACAAAGGGCTTCAGTTCAGGCTGCTTGTTCAATACAGCAATGGGTCATCAATTCTGGGCAGTGGCATGCTTGATGCGGGAGGTTGCAGGACTGCTAACATATGAGTATGATACGATTTGAAACTGAAATGCACTGAAAGCTATGTGTGTAGGCCAGGCCATTCAGAGAGTTGGTAGGTGGCAGTCTAGCACCTTTGAAGCTACATTAGGTGAGTTAATTACACTTTGTGTTTTTTGCAGGTGCAGGCACCTCAAACCCAGTCAGGGGTTGTGTCTTGGGTCATTCCATTGTTTTCTGGGTGAAGTGGAGGGCCAGTTCTAACAAGAACCATTTGGGCCTTCATCCCCTTGCCAGCATCCATGGTTGCAGCATGTGTGGGCTGGTTTGGAGCTGGCTCCCACCTTCTCCATCAGGTTTTAAGGAAGTCCTTCATCCTGAAGTCTTGGTTCAGCACACGGGTGAGAAAGTTTGTTGAGGGTAAAACTGTGAATTGGTCTGCAATATGAACACATGACGCTGCCATATTCTCAGTCATACCATTAGTCCATCCATGTCAGTATTGTCTACTCAGACTGGCTGTGGCTCTCCAGGGTCTCAAGCAGAGGTCTTTCACATAACCTCCTACCAGGTCCTTTTAATGGGAGATGCCAGAGATTGAACCTAGGACCTCCACATGCCAAGCAGATGCTTATCCACTGAGCCACAGCCCCTCCCTGAAGCCAGGGATTGAAGTAGGGACCTTCTGCATGCAAAGCAGAGGCTCTTCAGATTCTAGCACAGTAGCACTTTAAAGACCAACAAGATTATTAAGGCGTACACTTTCAAGAGTCCGCTATTGTCAGGTTGCAGTCACACGTGGCAGTTGAAGCAGAGGGGAAGTGAGGCTATTCCCTCCGGAGGAATTTACCCACAGTTGCGAGATCACACAGCCTTTTGTAGCTGTGGACTCAGCCCATCACTGTGTGATCAGATGCAACTGCGGGTAAGTCTTTCTTGTTTTGCCGTTTGTTTCCCATGCACATAAATGAGGAATTGCACCTCCGCACCGAGGGCCCTATATGGAGTATGCAATGATGCACATACTGCAGGGGGGGGGGAACGGCACTGAGCCGGGATGGCTTGATCAGATCATCCCGACAGCTTGCATGTGTGCACGATCAGACAGGGGAAAGTCCATCCGTGGCCTGTCGGGACCCATTTACTACTGGAATTTCTCTGGTGTCTTTTTATGCTGGTTCTGCGGTGGAGAAGCATGGGTTGCCGACGACTGTGGGACTCTTCCCAAATGTTGTTGTCTGATCATGCCCTTTAGATCCATCAGGCATTCACTCCTATGTCGGATCTACTGGCACATGTGATCGCAGCCTCAGATAGGCAAAAACAGTTGCTCCACACAGGTATTATTGCCCTCAGTTTCGAGGCCCCTAAAATCCTGAAAAAAATTAGAGAGTTGTGCCTACAGATGGATCGGGTATGGATGAAGCCTCTCTGGAAGAGGGTTTGGAAGGACCCCATTAAGTTTGCTGGCTTAGACTGGGCCAAGAACAACACTGTTGGAGGTCGGTAGGGTGATATGGCTTTCAGTATTCTGGCCCCAGTAATAAACCCTTTTGAGAATTGGCCTTGAGGCCTTTTATGCTGCATTGTGTAATAGTGAGCTGTTTGCTCAATAGCACTGGGTTGCATCCTGGAAGGAGTTCATTGGTGGAGGTGGTGTTTGCAGGTCTAAAACAGATCAACAAGACAGAGGGCATCATGTG